AAAAAAAGTTCTGAGGGACCCATAAATCTCCACGTTTCACACGATTCTCAATCGTTTGAATATATATTTGCGAGACAATTTTTCCCCAATTTGTTAAACAATTTTTCGAATTTACAAAAGTGAATTCATTTTTTCATTCCGTCCATCGATTGTTTCTCCATCATACCCCCACTCCGCTCTATATGGGATGTTTTCTTTCGTCACGATTTCCTGGAATTATCGACACTCTCGCGTTTGCTGGTCTTTCCGAATTATCGACACGCTCGGGCTCGCGCTCTGCTTTATCTATACCCAAGCCCTCCGAAAATTACCGACACTCTTGCCCTCGCGACCTGTTTGATTCACAGGTACACCCGCAAAATTAGTTCCGCCAGTTCCGCTAGGAAATTTTGCGGTTGAAGCTTCGCCATTGGCGTTAGCAATCTCCCCTATAATCTCTGTAGCAATCTCCCCTATAATCTCTGCCAATAATATTCAGATATATCCTGAAGAATAGAGACATCGAGATCGATTGTTCATAGGATATATACATTTAATATTTGACGTATCGCAATTAAATAAGTTAAGGACTCAGAGAACTATAAGAAGGGAAAACTAATAAATAAATTTAGTGGACTAAAGAATAAAAAAAAAAGTCCGTAAAACAGTAATAGGCTAAGGGTTCTCACCAGAGCAGTGCGATATCTGCGGTTAAATCTGAGTATGCTTTAATAATATTTAATGAAAGCATACACATGAACTTTTTCGAAGCACATGTGAGCCGAGTAGTGTAGATTATGATTCCAGATAAACTCAGAAAAAAAGATAGATTATCATTGTGACGGTGCGCAACCAACGATATGGTCGCGAATGCATTCATCTTTCAAGCGTTCACAGTGTAGACCTTGCGACGATATTGGTTAGAATATCAGGTATGTTGTCATGATTGACTTTAAAATACGTTGCAGAATACAGTACTCTCGAATATTCTGCGAATAGAGTTGTGTCATTTGATACTTTGCCTAATTTCAGACTTTAATTAAAAATTGTTCGATTTCCGTATCCACTACATTTTCATATACTTTTATTATGTATTGCACTTATTTTCTATATCAAATAGCGAATATGATTAAATATCTCATGACAACAACATAACAAATGAATAATGAGAAAAAATCTTGCTTTCTTTATTTTTTTTCAGCGTACCTTCCTTGATAATTTACACCACTTAACCTTGAAAAATTGTACGCTCTACGGTTGCAATAATCTTAACCAATCGTGGCGTTACTGAAAATCCGACGTTATTGCTCATCCAAGAAGCTTACACCAGAGTCCACAGGAATATTCAAACAATATTTAATAAATACCAAAGGAATCAAAAACCATCGATGTCGAAGTCTATCACTAATTGGACCTTTTGGAGGTCATATTTTTTTTTCTTTCCATTTGTTTTTATATCATCAATTAAAGCGATGACAACGTCAGACATCAATGTTTGGTTAACTACACTTATCAGTTTTCATATTTTCATAATTTACAACACTAATTAATATAATTGGGAACAGATTGTGATACTATATCATCATTTTATGCGCTTTTCAGTCCATCAGTTTATTGAGATATACTCATTCTAACAGTTATGTCGGTATTGTTGTATTGATATTTGAGCAATGCTTATAGGTTCATTGAAATATGAAGGTCTTTGTTCTAACCCATCAAATATTTCACTTAAAATCCTTAGATATGTTTTCTAAACCTACTAATTTCTCTGGTACTAATTGATTTGCGCTGCTCCGGGTGACCTATGTATCTAACTCAGTCGCTAGTCATCTTTCATGATGAAACTGTTCAGGAAACTAAGAGATATATTTCGAATATTTCAGACTAATGTGGGTAATATGGACATGGCTGATTCGTATTGACGCAGAACCAATTAATACTGTCAAATCTATTTTGCCGGACATATATTGACTATTTATAATGATAAGCGCTTTCCCGGAAAATTCTTTACACTTTAGCGGACAATACCTAGTCGATTACACACTTTTTCTTGCACCCTGGAATATGAAATAACATACGCATCTCGGGCATAGGTTTTGTTTTTCGTCATCGGAGTGAAAAGGTTGTTCTTAGCAATAAGAATATGCAGATTGGAGAATGAACCAAATGCGAGTACTCTATTCTTATGTGCTGGAACAATTTTTTGACCTAGTTTTTTGTGCATTGGATCTGCAATATGGTGCTTAATGTAGAGAGAGGAGAATCATTTATTTTCAGCGGTAAATAACCAGAAATCCACTACATATTTTACTTACTTTAATCCAATTCACATTTCTGTGTTATTCTCATAGAAAGTCGAAGAGATCTGTTCGATTGGACGCACAAGCTAAAAAAAAAAGAACACGTAAACGTAGTGCTGCTGATCTACAGCCAACTGTGAAGACAGCAGTATACAGAGTTACAGAAAGTGTTCAAAGGCAGAAACCAACAACAAGTTTGGCCGCAATGATGGAACTGCCCGTATCAAAAATAGAAGAGCGGATCCCCAGAGAATCTCCCATAAGTGATGATTATGAAATAAGTAATCAGGTGCTTGGATTGGGAATTAATGGCAAAGTCGTACAATGTTACGATAAAGTTACTAGACAGAAATATGCATTGAAGGTAATCGAAATTCTGTACATTTTCGTAAATAAGTTTTGTAAAGTATAATGTGCTACGTTCGTCCATAATTGAAAGGTTATTTTGGTAATGTGTTATCTTGGAGAAATATTATGATAACGCTGGAAGAAAAGTGATTTTTGACGTGAGCAATGGTTACTAACCGAGCCGAAGGTGGGGTGGGGACAGCACTGCAATCATCTTTATTAGGAAGTACTTATTTTCATATGTTTTGTATAAAACTCTCTGAAGCTACTCAGATAACAGGAGATTTGCCACGCACGAAGCAGGCAAAACAGTCCTCTTTCTTGAATCTATATCATAAAGTCACATTATATTCTCTTTGCTACAAAGGGAAATAATTTAAAGTTCTTTTTCAACGATTCACCAACCACGGAAGTACTCATACTAATGTAATTCATTAATCGATTCATTGATTTAACTGAGAAATCGATCAGTTTAATAATGAGTGGTTGAAAAGATGGACAAACTACTTCTTGGGTGATGATGGATCTTGGTTATTTAATAAAAACCCCTTTCATACAGGTTCTTCACGACTGTGTTAAAGCGAGACGGGAAGTTGAATTGCACTGGAGGGCTTCTAACTGCAAACACATTGTACAAGTGAAAGAGGTCTACGAAAATGCATACAGTGGGAACAAATGTCTACTTGTCATTATGGAATGGTAATTTGCTTTTATGTTTGTCGAATTGCACATGTTTTTATCTTTCATTGTTTCAATACATTGGATATTCAATGGAATTTTCATGAGATTAAATATAAATCGAACGTGCTATGACTTCAGGACGTATTGAGTTTGGGTACAGTAAGCCCGAAATTTTCTCGTAGGCGCGGGGTTATTGGAAGAAAGCTCAGGTGGCCGAGTGGTAGAAATATGCGCACCCACATGAGAAAGGCGTGATGCTAAGTAAGAAATTCGAATAGTAAGACGAACTTTTGCGTCTTCACTACTAAATTCGCAATTCATTGAGGTATGGTCAATGAATTGCGAATTTAGCAGTGAAGACGGAAAAGTTCGTCTGTAGATACAAACAATGTTTTTTTTTAAAAACTGTTAGTTCCTGCAAGTGCATTTAAATAATAGACGAAACAATCAGTATCAGCCTGACTAATACCGTGAACGATATTTACATAGTTCATATTTTTAGACGAGTTAAAATTTCTTCACTTCATGATAAGTACGAATATCAATTAGGTGATTGTGACGACTTTTTCTGTTCAATAGAACTATACTGTCGAGATTTGGTGGCAATTAATTTTCAATGCTACTATTCATTATCTATTTAGGATAGTATGTCAATTTTTGAAATTGGCGAAAAAATTTTTTCGGAAAACGAATATTAAATGGATGATACTTCTCACAATGCCAGTTTGTTTAAGTTTAGCATTTACGAGTCTCACTAAAACTAGAATCATTAATGTTTCACACTAGTATTTCACAAAATTTGTTTTGCGATTTTTCTGCGAAGAATTCACTTATTTTTTAAAATTACATACGATTTTCAAGCTGCAAGTGGCCCAACAATGTTTGCGGTCAGTTAAAAATTCATTCCTCCTTTTCTAATTAGGGTGGAGAAATGAAACCGACATCCGATTGATGATTGTAAATTCAGTCAACTGACTAATATTTCATTTCTGCAACTTCCATAAGGACGCGGGAAAAACGCGTCGAAAATCATAACGGCGCTGAAGAAGATTACACAGATCTTAAGCACTCAGGGAGCCGACAATATTTTTCCCAAATTAAATAATCATTTATCTTCTGCACATTAAGAGGGGCAGATGAAATTAACACCAATCGATTCAGAATTCAACTCTAAACGAGTGGATGACGATTTCTTTTTTTAATCTCTAGTAGGAGGGGAGGAATTAATTTTAAAAAGCGCGAGTGACACTGAAGGACTTCACTCATTTAAAAATTCAGTTCTCTGCGTAACTTTCAACGCAAAGTTTCTATTTTCCTATATATGTTAAAGAGATAACACTGCAGTCAGTTGATTGAGTTTTTAGTCCTCAATCGAATGCCGTTGGGTTCACCTCTCCATCATTATTAAGAAATTAATTTTTAACTAAGCCTAAATATTATTGCCACTGACGCGATTACTACTCCCACGATCCTTCTGGCAGTGCTACATCATTGTCGAGACTTGCGTGCTCATGACCTGCACTATTGACGTACGTACTCTTAATTTAGTTCAGACGCCACCGCCACGAAATTTGGCGACGGGCAGAAGCGGGAAAAATAGAAGTAGAGAGAGAAACAGACGTTATGGTCGTTGCCAACGAACAAGTCAAACGCTGAGAAAATAAAATGGCAAAAATATTACATGATAGTTGCCATGGGTGGATATTTTTATTCGTTAGTGCTTATCAAGAAATACAAATACCATTAGAAAGCCCATAGTCAACTTATATAATGTAACGAAGGACGGATTTCGCCAGAAATTACCCTATAATGAGAAAAAAATATAAAAACCATTCGAGGAGTAGTTGTGTCGTGGATATTATACGCAACAGCATGGGGCTATGACGTCACACGGGTATGAAATGTCAAATTAGCCGATAGGCTCGCGTATCGAGATACGCGGGAGCGTATCGGCCAAGTACATATTTCATAACCTCTAAACCTCCAAACCACACAACAAACTACAGGCCCAGCGCTCCCAAGTATCTATACACGACTCAACTACCCCTACCACTACCTCCAGAACTAATTTTCGTAATTAAATTAAAACACGGCAATTTGAAGAAAAAATAAACTTAGTTACATCACCTAAATCGCGTATGCTCTTTTCATTAATTCTAATCCTCTCGCAATTAAACGCACCATTAAAAAAAATCGAGCATAGCAACGGATTTTTTCGCATATTTTCCGCGGTGAGATTATTTCAAAACTGAAGCCGTCAGATGTTTGTTTGAAAGTTGGCAGCATCTGTTTCCAACGGGCGCTGTGTGTTATCGGTTCGTAATCAGCGTCGCGCGCCAATAATGAGAGGTTGGCAAAAGTATCGTGGAAAATGCCCTGAGAAGAGATAAGTTGAGTTTATTTTCAGTGATAAATTAAAAAAAAGAAATGCATAATTTGGCATCTCATGGTGTTGACACCTAACACTTTTTCTATTTGTTTCACTTTCTTCAGTTATCCTTGGAAATAAACAATTTTTCTAAAAAAAACACTCTTTACTGCACCCTCAACTATGAAATGTATTTTGAAAATACACTTTTCCAAAACAAGAGATGTTTTAGAAATAATTAAGGAAAATGCCTTGGAAAAATGTGAAAAAACTTAATTAATTTTTGATTATCCATACATGTGTTTTGAGAGAAAAATAATGGATTATTTCACGTAGCCAGTATTTTTAGGGCCAAAATGCAAGTAGCAAGCGCCCCAAAAAAGAGATAAGAACAACAAATCGATTTTATAAAATCACCTGACCTTTATTGTGCATTACATTCAATTCGTAACCTCAAACAGGCTTAATATGAAATTTAGAAAATTTTATTCTCGTTCTAAATTGTATTTTCAAAAAAAGAATAACTCGGCAAATTAAATGATCGATTTCTCTTAAAATTTGATATATTAATCGAAAACCTGGAAAATAAATGAATACAATAACTAATTAATGAATTATTTACATAAATTATAACTTCAAATAGTTGATTGATACACTATTATCGCTCACTCATGAATCAAAACTTATATTATACAGCAATGCATCGAATAGAAAGATATATACCATATATACGCAATAGTCCTTATTCCAAATGCATAATTGAAAGATTGTGAAGGAAGAATCATGAAATTATGTGGAGATACATAAAATTAGTCACTTATTTAAACTCCAGGGCACGGAAGACTCATTCCAATAATTGGATATTGTCGATGCATTTTGTATTTTATTTAAATCTAGGTAATAGTAAGAATCTCTCATTCGATAGTAGCTTGGGTAATGGAAGGGTAAAATCTCTTGCCCATTTTGAAAGAATGCTTGAAATCCCCCCAAAAACAAAAACAAAAAATGTTTTTGTAAAAAAATGCGCCAAGCACATATTTCAATGTTGTTCATTTGAAAAAAAAAATTGGGAAAAACGTGAAACAATAATTACTTGAATATTGAAGCCATAACTATGGAAATTTAAAAAAATACACAAAATTAAGAAATACGCCAAGCTCATTGAATTTACCAGTGAGGAACGCTGGTGATGCTAGGAGTGCGTAAATCGTTTTAAGTTCTTCTCTATGAATGTCTTGACTAAGACGAGTCCCATAATATCCTACAAAGGACATCGCAATCAAATCGAATACTCGACGCAAGTCGAAAGGGGTAAAAAGGGCATTGTGAGTCAAAAAACTATTCAGCAATATGGTCAGGATCAACGTACTTGGCGCGGTTTTTCCTGATAACCTAACCTATTTGGATATGCGATCTTTCCTCTCTTCGTTAAAAGCTGCCCGTGAAACTTGACCTGAGCAGTGCTGACCCGTACTGCACTGCTGACTGAAAAGTTTCCCGTGAGAATCTTTCATCCCTATGCATCAACTGTGGAACTACTATCGTTTGAGTCTCGAACATAGTTGAATCAAAGGAACTTCCCTAATCCGATGGTCTGCTCATCAAGATTTCAAACTCATAGGTCTTTTCATGATAATCAGATAGAACTTTCAGTTGAATTTTTCGCTTTGTTGATTCCCCTAAAATTTCCAGAATGAACTACAGTTCGTGTAATTGAGGAAAGTACTCTATTATCGCGAGTTCTAAAGAGAAAGTGGTGAGTTTCGAAAAAACCGCACCAAGTACGTTGATCCTGACCATATTGCTGAATAGTTTGTTGATTCACAATGCCCTTTTTACCCTTTTCGACTTGAGTCGAGTATTCGATTTGATTGCGATGTCCTTTGAAGGATATTATGGGATTCGTCTTAGTCAAGACATTCATAGAGAAGAACTCAAAACGATTTACGCACTCCTATCATCACCAGCTTTCCTCACTGGTAAATTCAATGAGCTTGGCGTATTTTTTTATTTGTGTATTTTTTATCAAATTTTCATAATTATGGCTTCAATTTTTAAGTAATTGTTGTTTTAAGTTTTTTCCAATTTTTTTTTCAAATGACCAACATTGAAATATGTGTTTGGCGCATTCTTTTACAAAATCTTGATATAGTAGACGCGGCAGCATCAGCCTATGACGTCACACGGGTATAAAATGTCAACTTGCCCGATACGCTCTCGCTTATCTTGATCTAATGCAATTGCACTCGTCCGAAGAGGTAATCTATTCAAACATGGTTCAAAATGTTTGCTACAAAAGATTTTTATTGATTTCTCTCTTATTCAGTTCACTTAATGGAGTCAAATTTTTTAAAAATAATGATCATTTCCCCCAAACAAATCCTACCACTTCAATGTTAAATTTCGCATTAATTTGCGGTGAATTTCAGGCTATTCGAATTTTCGATTAGCGTCATGGCTTTCTAGCCACTAAAACCACTAAAGTATAGACACACTATAACACATCGGTGTATATAAATTAACTAATTCCACGTAAACAATTACTTTATGCCTTGAGGCCCGGGTGGAGGGATTTCCAGCCGACAAGTCCCTAGAAAATTCCCTAGAAAAAACGTGTTTTACGGGGACATAAATGACAGCCCCTGTAGAC